CACAGGCCAGGGTTATGTGTAGATGGGATTAGAGTCAAACAATGGTATTTACTCTAAGGTACTGCACCTTATTGGCTATCTCATTCACACAGGTCAGAGTTATGTGTAGATGGAATTTGTGTCAAAAGAAGGTTATTTTATGTTGCCATTGGACAATAGCTACATGATATTACATAATGAGAATGAGAATTTTAAGTTTCAGCTGAAAGTAAAGTCCAAGAACCATAGTTGATCGTTACAATAACATTGTCATGTAATTCATGGCCAATTTTCTCAAAAATGATGAGTAGAATTCAACCTTAACTGCATTTTTGTCAGAATTTTCAGAATAACGATGTACTTTTCATGATGTAGAATGTGAAATGTGCTGTAATGTGTTCACCACAAAATCAAATGCTGTAAATAATTTAAATTAAAAGGTTTTTCATGATTTCAGGATTTTATGTCATTCATGGAAATAAAATTTTCACAAAGACTCCCAAAATATAAAAAAATTTGCTATTCTGCCCTCTTTTATCAAGTTGTGCTAACATTACCAAGAAAGTCATTTTAATACTGCATGTGTTTCTAATAGAGTGAATACAATTTTTTGTGTGTTACAGTGATGTATTTTGAAAAGCTTGTCTTAATATTATTCAAAACTTTTTTTTATTTGAAAATTCTATAGAGCGTAATGTTGAACAAAAATTGTATTTTTTGACACTTTTTTAAAACCCAGCTTCCAATTTGAGATATAGCATAAAATCTCTATCATATGGTAAAAGTACTGTAATACTGTCAAAATGGCCACTATCTACTAAAATACAACCACCATTTTCTCAAAAATTATGCTGATGACCCCAAACTTTTTTCAAGTCAATATTGCCCGGAAAACAATATATTAAAAAATGGGTAAATTCAGGGTATTTGAATTCATGAGTAGGCTTCTACCTTAAGATAATTATTGGATAGACATAATACAAGTTGTTTTTCTATCAACTCCAAAATCATGAACCCAAATATCAAGACATGGGCATGAGTTCATGGTACACAGAGCTTCTAATATAGAAATTACAGAACTGGTATTTTGTGTATTTCAAAAATTACTTTCTCAATCACTTTGGAAAATTTGCACTATGCAGGATGGTATATAAACACACTGACCCAGAGTGACATGCTGTGGTAAATTAAGTAAGAAATGCCACACTACACTTCAGAGTTAAATTAAAGCCAATTCTTATTCTTGATTTATTTATAAATGTAAATCACTGAAGTGATGGAATTATGGGATATATTAAATAAATGACATCTTTGATATAAAAGGTCACTGCATCAACTGTGGCTCAATTGAGACTTGAACTTGAATTCAGCATTAAATAGATTAATGTTCTTTTTTAACAAAATAATTACTTTAATTTATATACAAAAGAATGAGTTTTCAGTATCTTAGAATGTCATCAAGTACCCAAATTGCCTGTTTGATTCTCTATTTAAAATTTAAAGATGGACAATATTACAAAATTATTTCTATTAAGTTCTATTAAGCTTATTATAAGACGCGCAGCAGATTCTTGTGTTGTTGCCTGTCTAGCCATTTTATCTCTCACTTACGATTATTTTACCCATGTATAAGACCAAACAAATTAAATTGTTTTGTTGCCCTCAGCGACCAAACGAGAAATATGAAATATCACGTCAGGTTTTTTGTTTGTTTTTGTTTTCAATAGGCCCAAAAACTCACTATTTTAAGCAGTAAAAAAGTGTTTCCTTAGTTTTCATGAGTTTAAAAAAAAAAAAAAAAAAATCCAACCGATCGACCCAATTTTTCAATTTTCCGACTTGAGGGCAACATAAGTTTTATTTTGTTTGTTTTTTTGGCCTAATTCGTCCAAGTACATTATCTACTTGGGTACGCTGTGTTTAATGCACACCCAATGTTGAATTCTAACCCAATGTTTTCAAATGAGTAACCTCTTAGAAGAAGTCACTTACCTTGCTCATTGTAGAGTAATTGCTGCACCAGGGCTATGGTGTTAAATCTGTGAGTTAGTTGGCAGTTCTTTTCTCCAATGGTATATATTTCAATATTGCATACATCAGTAGATACAAAGACAATATTGCCAGCACAGCACAAGGCAATGGGTTCTGATTGGGTACTAAACACTTGCTGTGATGTGAAATTATGGCACGAAAAAACACGTACCATGATGATGTTAGTCTGATGGCGCTACAAAATATCCCTGAAATTGAAAATAGTAAAATCATTTTGAGGTGGACCAAGTAAGGATTTGGGAGATGCGTTAGAATATGAGTAGATATTGCTTTTAAACTAGGATATCTTGGATCACATTAATGATAACTGAAACTTAACTGGGATCGTGCGACTATTTTATGAAATAATTGAAGGCAATAATAATGCACAAAATATGTACTAATTTAATATTTCAACTTCCAATTTGTTTTTCACCGTCTAGGAATAGTGATATGTGCATGAATACGCAACGATTTGCCTCGAACTATGACTAGGATCCATAGTTATCTCTTCTGTAATCTCCAGAACAAACTATATAAAAACATGCTATCTGTCTTCATACTCAACTATGCATAGTTGAAGCAGAGGGGTGTCACCTGCGCACACGCAGGAATTGATTCCCAAACAACATTATCAACGCATGTGCCGGTGACATCTCCCATGCTTTAAACCTAGTCAGTCACACTGAATTCTCCTTACCAAACAAGATTCCATCTACAAATATAAGTATTTGAAACCAGTTATTTAAAGCAAACCTCAATGCGGCATTAATTAATTTATAGTTGCGTATATTCTAAACTGTATTCGAAATAATATTGCAGTGGTTTAATTTTGTTTTAATTATAACTGTAGCTTGGATAGGCATTTGAAGTGCTTACAATTAAACACCATGGAGGCCATTCATGGAGGAAAATTAACAAGTCATTGAAAATGACACAGTCCCCATTAAATTAAGTTCTCTTTGTGCTCGTCATATTAAAGCGGAGGGGTTGTCGCGAGCGTGTCCTTGAAACTTGAGTTCCAAGTGGCGTATACAACAAAAATAAAAAAAATGCCTGCCAGTCGACCATCTTTGATCCAATTGCGAAATAAATCGTCATGAACATGTATACTAACATGTATAATCTATGCACCAAGTTTGAATGACAACTGACAAAGCATGTCCAAAATACAACATTTTCAAAAAAAACAAGATGGCTGCCAGTCTGCTATTTTGAATCAAATTGCTAAACCACTGCATGTGCATATGTCCCACATAAGGTACTAGGCACATGCAAAGAATGAACGGAATCGGTCCACAGGATTCTGAAATATGACTCATGGACAGATTGAGGGACGGACGGTCACACGAACGGACGGACAGACTCAGGAACTCACTGATGGTCGGGTACATGTATCCTAACATGTATGATCTATGTACTAAATTTGAATGAAAACTGACAAAGCATGTTCAAAATACGACATTTTCAAA